CATCTGCATCTTCAGAAAGCTCTCGGTCTCACCAGAAAATGTCACAGGAGAAGGATTGTTCTCGCCTCATTTTACATCATAGTCCACTAATTTTGAAGCCTCACTTCCCCGTAACGGAAAAGAATCGCGTCTTGAGCCTCTGGATTCTCCTCGACAGCATGCATGACCTCATCATCGATCTGAAAACGGCGATCACATAAGTCACATTTCAGGTTGGGAAAGTCCAACGTGTTGGGCAGCAGTTCAAAGGAACGTTCGGCTGCTTCGGCCACCTGATGCTGTGAGGACGGACACATGGTCCTGCAGCCACAGCAGCCATCCTGAAGCTCTCCTTTACTTTATCGTCCCTCTGATTGCTTCAAACGTTTGAGTTTTTATGCACAGTGTTATGAATCTTTATGGTGGAAAGTCAGGCCTCAGAATGGGAGTTCTGCCTCTTGTTTCCTTGTTTTTGAAGTACCTTCATGTATTAATTGTTTTTACAGTTCTGCAGTTCCTGATATCGTTATAGCAAGTTGCAAAGGTTTGATTCTGGTTGACAGCCTGAATGTTAGACACACCAGACAGACTGAAGACCCATTATCCATCAGACAGAACAGTCATGGAAAATAAGAAACATGAGATTTTTTTTTTTGGTTGCAAAGAAAATAAGCAGTTTAATTACTTTATATTGCTCCCCTGCACTCACACATCATGACACAATATGGATTTGTTCGATTTTTCCGATGCTTTCAACCATTAACGTTGTCGGGTCGCGTTTTCTGAGTGAAAACCTTCACAGTGCAACAGGTCTGAGAAACAGAAGACTCTTCTGCAACATAACACTCCTGCATGAAGGGTCCTTGTCGTGTGTGTTTGTAATCCAGTGGACTGTACACGCCTGCAACACGAATCAAACTCTACCAGGGTCTAATTAAAGATCTCACCAAATCTCTGTTTGAGGGTTAATACGTGAAGGAACAAACCACAATTATAGCGAGCGGCGATTTCAACAGCAACACTCAACCCCCCACCAGACGCTCGCATACATGCACCCCCCACCCTCATCTCATTCCTTCACTCGGAGAGCACTCTCCTCTGCCGTTGCCATAGTAATCCCAAAGCCAATAACAGCCCTAAACCTTTCCTCCCTCAAGCCGAGGAAGCCGGGGATGGAAATTGCCCCCCGTCAAATTTGCCCCCGAGAGTATAGGTTTGCATTGCTGCTGCCGTGTTGCACCCAGAGCCCAGAGCCGAGCCCCCAGAGCCGAACACCCAGAGCCCAGAGCCCGGAGCCCGGCCCCCAGAGCCCGGCACCCAGAGCCCAGCACCCAGAGCCCAGAGCCCGGCATCCAGCGCCCAGAGCCCAGCACCCAGAGCTCCGCTGTGTTTCTGCCGTCCATCCACTGCCCCCCAACACTCAGAGCAAGACAGCATTATAAATCAATTTACGAGCTGAGAGAGACACTCTGCAGCGGATGGAAATGAACGATGGCAGATGAAGGATATTGGAAAACACTTCCTCTGCTGTCAGAGTGAGCAGGTGTGTACAGTAGCAGCATCTCATGCGCAGCTGGCAAAGGAAATCTAATCGTATTCCTGTGTGTGGGTGATGAATCGGGGGCGAGGAGAGACGATGGAGGCGTCTGAATCTCTGAATAACAAACAGGGGAAATGTTCGGTCGTAGCCGGCAAAGTTGTTGGAGGTAACTCAGGAGGTGAACGAGCAGGTGGATGAGAGGACGAAAAGGAGCTTCTGAGTGTCAGTCAGTCAGATCGAGACCACCAGTCAGAGGATGTGTTTGTCCACAAGAATCCAACAGGTGAACGTCTTCATCAGCTTCTGTCTCCTGTGAGCTGTGAGGACACGCTGCCAGCTCTCCAACCGGTTCATACACCAAAAACAAACGCTGTTTAAAAGATGTTATGTTCAAACAGTAAAAGCATAAATAATTCATTTTTTGCAGGAACTCTAATGGGTTATTCAGCCTCACATCTCCATCCTGCTCGACCAGCTCGGATTTAACTGAAACATTTTTATTATAAACTCTGAATATTTAAAATGACATCTGTGAGTATTCTCACTGACATGAATTCAACAGCTATCCTGGGTAAGGTGATGCTTTAAAGTTAAATCTGCTTTTATTCAGAACAGTTTTATTTGAGGAACCATTCTGAAACTCCAGAACTCGACTTTAATCAAACTTTCTACTAATATTTATGTTTTTGTGGTTCATCTTGTCAAACCTTCTGAAGGTTGAAGAAAACGAACCTTCTCTTCCTTTTTAGTCGGTATTTCATAATAAAAGCACCCAAACATGTTTTGTTCTGTGTTCTGGTGACATGCAGGAGGCATCACTGGTTCACTTCTGTGTCATCAGGTTTATGTGAGCTTAAAGCTTTTCATTATCATTTTATATTTGAACTCAGCCGTTGGTACACATTATTTGTTATCTACTTGTCTGAAATAATGAGAAATAACTGAAGGTTTAAGGTTTGTAGCTTTAATAGAGCCTCAAATCTCAATGTGAGAAATAAAACCTGCTGAAAACGGGTCGACAGCCGATTTTAAAAAGATGTTTTATCTCTGAAAGTATTTCATACATCAACCTATAACTTCATAAATATCTATAAATATCCATATATTGTGCTATAAAGCAGGATATGAGCAGTAATTGAGTTGAAATGAGCCTGTGTTTAATTAAATGGTGGGACTAGTTCATTTGTTTTTAGTGTTGGATAAGGATAAGGAAGTATTTACAACGAGCCAACAAGAAAAAGTTTTGTGTTCACTGTCAGAAATATTCCATCCTTCTTATTTTCCACTGAGAGATACGTTGGACAGACTTCTCCTCTCCACACTGGAACAGAATAACTTTACAGACAATCCTGCAAAGGGTCTATTATTTATAAGTCATTACAATATTTTCATGATCTCCTGACTTTTCCTCTAGAGCCAGCATGAGGCTGATGTTTGCATTAATCTGCAGTGGAAGCTTTAAAACTGGTGCTAAACACAACTTAAAGATGGATGCATTTTATGAATTGAGCTGAATGCAAACTGTGACGATTCACTTTGAGTTCACTGCAACGAGCGACTGCTTTCACCTGCACACACTGATTAATGCAGCTTTAAAGTGTTCTATTTTAGGAGAAATACGCATGCAGAGGAATAGAAATGTGACGCTGGCAGCAGTTATTCCTGGTGTGTTTGACAGTTCTGGCCTCCCACACACTTTTATTAAACGTTCAGCTCCAAACTGACTCCTCCCTTCCAGTCCATGACTTTCTCCTGAAGCTAATGGAGATGATGCAGGATTCTTTACCCTGCCAGCTACATAGTCAGCATGGCAGAGCCGACTGGTTTAATATTCTATATCTGTGTGTGCTGGTGATGCTAATTCAGGGCAGAAGCGAGACGGGAGCAGAGGAGGCCTGAAAACTCTGGGTAAGGGATTTTAGGTGGGAGGATGTCATTAACAGGACCTGGGGTTCGTTGGAGGAGCCGAGGTGTCACATTACTGAGGTGAATTATGTAATTAGAAGGATTCATGAAGGAGGGAAGAAGACTGAGGTGGTGGAGATGACCTGGTCAGTGTTGGGATTTTAACTCAGAGGGAAGCCTGGAGGGCCATGAGGATATCTCCATCCTCTCGTTGTCACTGAGGATGTGCAGGTGAAGGAGACCAACACAGACTGTTGGAACTGGCCTGGAAGTGAAGTTTTTAAATGAAAAAAAAAGTGGGTTTTATTGATCAGGACCCTTTGTTGATGTCATGCAAGGTAATGCTACCTCTGGTTATTAATCCTTCATCCATATCTGAGGTCAAAGCTCCATCCAGATGTAACTCTGCCCAGCAACATGTTCCAGTTCCTCCTGGTGGACCTCATGGGGTTCTCAGGTCAGATGAGATATATGATACCCTGGTTTCTCCTCCTAGTTACCCAGAAACCATCAAAAGAAAGATGCCTGAACCACCTCAGCTTCTTTCAACGTGAAGGAGCAGCGACCCTGATCCAAACCCGTACGGTGTCCACAGGATCAGTCACTTCAACGCTTCCCACTCATTGTCTATGCAAGCAGCCCCATGATGCATTCTGGTAGCATTTCCAGAGACGGGGCATCACATTGCTTGCTTCTCATTTGCACAAAGTTGAGGTCTAAGCTACTTTACGTAAATCAGGAGCTTCTGGTCGCCACTCGACGCCTCTGGAAACTACCAGAAAACCATATACGAAGACATATTCAGTATCTACATGGTTTATTTCTGCCCTAAAACGGTGTCAGGAACATGTTTTAGTCAGCTGTTTTTGTAATATGAGAGGAAGTTTCCAGATGAGCTGCCATGATGGTGCGGTTTGAAAACCAAGAAGAGACCGTCCACTAGTGAAACATCTGTCTAATCAGTAGCAACCAGTGATTGAGCGGTTGTAGAAGTCAGGTTTGGATTCCTGTTCAAGTCCAACAAGTGTCCAGAGTCGGGTAGCAGCACAACCCTTTGAATCTAAGAACACCACGTCGGCACTCTTTTGGTCACTGCCCATGACTGTAGGTGAGGGTTGGACAAAAGGCCGACTGGTAAATCATCTCCTTCTTCACCACAAAGGTTCAGTACAGCGCCCACACTACAGCTGACGCTTCACCAATCCATCCGTCCATCTCCAGTCCAACCTCCTGCCACTCATGAGCAAGATGTTGAGATACCTGAACTCCTTCACTGAGGGCAGCAACTCAACTCCAAAGCCAGAGCGAGCAATCAGTGGTTTCATGGGATCAGATTGGAGGTGCCACCTCAACAAGTCATCTGCAAAAAGAAGCAACGCTGAAGCTCCTAAACCAGACTCTGTGTTCACCTCGGCTGCACCTTGATCCTGTCCAAGAACATCACAGACAGGATCGGAGACCAGAGGCAGCTTCATCCAACACCCAGAGGAAATGAGTCTGACTTTACACCAACATTATAAAATCTCAATCATCAGAACGCAACTGAATAACAACAGAACCAGAGAGTTCATTGATTAATTTCACTTTTAATTAAAGTTTTTTTTTTCCACACAGATTTACACAGAAACCAGAGGTGGCAGCATCACAGTATAAAAGTGTCTACCGGCACAGTTCAGAAACACAACAAGAACAGCAACTGCACTTCACTGTTCGTCTACGTCTGGACAGAAACCAAAGAATTCAGTGTCAAGTAACGGACCGGCACTTTTCAGCTTCATTTTTCAGAGTGAACCTGTCAAGACAGGAAGACTTGAGAGACACCAGCATATATACAGTATAATTAAAAAAAGAAGAACAGCTCTTAACAAATGGAAAGTGAATAAAGTAAAAGTCAATAAAACACGACATCCAACAGGCTGCTTCTGTCGCACGCGCAGCTATCGACGTTTTTCTTCACGTCTCACTTCAAACGCTATCAGTCAAGCCTCTGTGCTCTGGATCTAATTAAACAGCGATCGAGTGCAGAAATATACAGATTGATTTCCACCACGGCAGCAGGCTGGATAATGGCAAAGTTAATTCTGGTAAGTTAATTCTGGTAATTCGTCTATAGATCAAATAAAGGTTAACGTTCAAAGCAGCTCACAGCTTCAGTCCGCCTCACTTTTATTGTGTCAAACACCAACAACAGGTTAAAAATAAACGTGTCCAAGAGTTACGGCATGATGTCCAAACACAATCTAAAGGAGCAGTCTGACAGTTTAGGACGTAAAACTCACTGCACCGGTTGCACATAACTCCTGTAAATGTTGAACTATTCCAATAAAACGAATAACTGAACTCCTGACGTCCTTTTGAATCGATGCTGCTGTAAAAACTCCTGAACGTCGACTGTACAGACGATAAACTCTACATGCATAATTCAATCCAACGCTGTCACTCAGATTTAACTCCTTCTGTCAGCTTGGAGACCATCAGCCTCTTTACAAGGTGACTGACTGTAATTTTGCAGCTGTAGTTGGATGTTTTTTGTCTTTTTTTGATCATTAAAAACAATATAATAATTGGTATTATGTGGAGTCATCACCTCTAACAATTCTCCAGTATCTTGTATTTAACACAAAGATGTGTTAAATATCCAGCTTGGCTCAAAATCCACCACAATAACGAACAATCATTCCATGAAAACCTCGTCAGAATCAGCTGGGTTTTAAACATACAGTAGCTCCAGTGTATTTAATGAAACTATGGAAAACCATTTTACCTTCATTCAGAGTTACAGGCTCCTAAAGTCACAGGTGTGGGTTGAAATTTGGCTCTAATTTCTTTATTATTTCTAAACTCTTAAAACTTCACATCACCGCAGATAGACATGGATTTTAAGACTGAAAAACACATTTGATAAAACCTGTAAATCAGTTCCACATCCACTCCAGGTGTCACAATCTGAAGCCAAAACCATTTGTTTTATCTGAAACTAACTTTGAGCTTCAATATCACGAGATGTACTTTAGCTTCAACAGCAAACCAGCAGCTGTAACGTCTGAGGCAGCATCAAAACGCATCCGTACCCTGGATGGGTTTTCTGAGAATTCACTGGAGTAAACTTTTTTTAAAAAGTGTATTTTGGGTGAACTTTTAGAGCTCCGACCTGCATGTGTGATGATGGTTGACATGAAAGACGTTATTTTTACCAACATTTGGTGCCATCTTTGACCCACGAGTCCCTCCATGTTCAGCCCGTCTCTGAGGGCCTGTAGCTTGGAACATATTCATAGTATGGAGGTAAAATCTTGCAGGGCTTCATTAAATACACTAAAGTCATAATCTGCTGATTCTGAGGAGGTCGAGCGGTAACCTTTGAAGATTTGGTTGATTTCATAAGGAATGACACAAACAAATAATAAACCCAATTCAATAAATCCTTTTTGTTCCTGAAGCAAAAAGCGAAGCAACCTTTAGCCCAAAACGAAACCGTTCAGCGAGAACAAACCGGCCGTGACCTTATTAGATATCTGTCTGTGGGTTTTGGTGAGCTTGTTAAAAAGCAGGAAGTTCAAGAAAAACTTTTAAACTCAGATGATTTCTTTCAGCTGTAGGAGATTTTCTACTAACTTCCCTCATATTCAACCGTTTGCAGACGATGACCCGCTGATGAGGCCACAGAGAACAACCATATCTGTGTCGCTTTACTTTCTTTAACCTGCAATTGAACTGCAAAAAGTGAACAGCTATAACATCAGGATGCAACCAAACAGTCTTCACAACACATCTCCCAGAGAAACGTTTGCTGCAAATCGCTCACCTGGAATCACAAACTGTACAAAAGAACCCACTTAAACCGAGTCACTGACACCACTGGAACATTTTCACCATGCGAGAAGAACGATTGGCTAACAACAGGGCCGAGCACGGCTCAGGGAGTGTGAATAAAATATACGACGAGCAGGCACTGTCTGTTTGAACAGGGATCACCGAAAACAGACCAAGCAGCAGCAGCAGCAGCGTCACCGTGGATAACGTGTACAGAGCAGCGGTGCTACAGGTGAGCTACAAACACCAGGTGAGAGTTTAATCCTTTGGCACAGCGTGTAAGAAAAACCCCAGTAATTTGCATCGCTCTCATCTCCCCGACTTGTTTCCCGTCTGAAGTCGATCTCCTCTCTCCGGCGCTCCGGGCTGTAATTTCTCCTAATTCCTCACCACAGCGGAGGAGAGCGTTAAAGCTCACGACATTGTTTTCCTCGTCGCCTCGTTTCTTGACATTTGTGCCTCCTCCTCCTCCTCCTCCTGGGCTTCGTTAAACATGATCCTCTCTCATCAGCACCTCTCATGCGCTGGTGCATAATTGGCTGAATGAAGAAACTACCACATGTGCTGTTTATGTACAGTCACTTCAAACCATTCAAATGCAAGATTTTACAAAATACGACATAGAAAATGAACAAAGTCATGCCAATCAGAACACACACACTCTGTATCTCACACACACACACTCACAGTAAGGCTTCAGGGTTTCATTAAAACTTTGAGCGTGTCATGCAAACACCAGTGTCCCGTTCGGGTCATGCAGCTGGTTCTAACGCTGACACCAGTTCATCTGCTCACACAGACCAACACCACAGTTACATGCACACGATAGTTTACCGACCGGGTCGGTCCATCTCAGACCACCAGACTTCTGCTCGACCATCTCTGATCGATCTGAACGTGTTACAGCGTAACAGATGAACATTCATGAAGATATTTGTGTAGTTTTAGCTTCACACATCACATATTTTTGGGAAACTCGAGAACTTCTGTGGTGCAGCTTGTCATCGCTGCTCAATCAGCTTTAAACAGAAGCTTGAATTTTAATGGGTGAAGAATCAAACTGCATGTTGGGCAATTGTTCTAAACAATTTTCTCAGACAGTTTTTGATGCATTAAGCTTAAATTTCACAAATATCATTTAAAATTTCCATAGTTGGTGATTAAAAAACAAGTTTCAAGCAAATCAGAGACGCTTGAGCAGAAGGTTCTCGATGATTTTTAGATGGAAAAACCCCCAATAGTGACGAAGGCAAACGCCTGGTTGCATAAATTTACCATAAAATCGTGTTTACATGAAAAAAAAAAGAACTTTAAATCACATTTTTCTCCATCCTGCTGCTGACAAACCAAACAGAGCAGCAGTGGGTGCACAGCTCACTTCTTTAAAATGAGATAATCCAGGTTAAAAAAAAAAAAAAGGAGAAGCATTCATCGTTTTAACTGAACATTTTGAAACTGATCTGACCAGATTATGGTTTTGCAACAAGCGGCTCTGAGTGAAGCCGAGTGGGAAGGAATTTCAAATGTTGTGTAACCACCTGCGACGCATTGTTGTTGGAAAGAATCTGCTCAGAAAACCAGTGCGACGAGATTTAATCGCACACGTCAAGAGGCTGCAGTGAGTCCAACAGATTTCCTCCAACAGAGTTCATCAGAATGAACGCGTACGTCAAACGAATGAACAGACGAAGGTTCCCGTCTATACAGCAAAATCCTAAACCCTCGCTGCTCCACATTCATTAACTATGAGCCGGGTTTCATCCCATTAGAGACGTAACCGGAGGCTATTAAAGATATTAAACTCCGAAATGTACCTCGCTCTGCATAAAATCTCATCAAGTTTCTGGTTATAATTGAGTTCTGGAGGCGTTTTCAGTGACGAAGTCTGCACGTGCAGTAAGAACATCTGTTTGCGGGAACGCTTTCATTTAAAGATCATCCGAGAAACGCGTGTTGAACTGCAAACAACACCAACGAAAAACTGAAAAAAAAACTTGATTTGTACGAAAAAAGTTCAGCTGTACAGTTTTTAAAATTCTGCTGGAAGAAAAATTAAACTTAAAGCTGCCCTGTGGATGTTCTGACCACTAGGAGTGCTGTGGAGCAACGTTTACGTCATGTTTAGTTTGTGATGTGCAGCCAAATTCACATTTCTAACAACAAACTAAACAGGAGACTTTGATGAAGAAGGTTGTTCGACTTGAGTGATTAACAAAGTGGATTTAAAATAATAACAATATATTAGTTGCTTTGCAAATAAACTCCACAGGGCAACTTCAAGCACAAAACCACAGGCAGGACTTTTAGTTTTTGCAGTACATATATGGGCTGTGGCTCAGATGATGGCAGTCACAGCCTTGATCAATCATATTCTAATTGTGTTTCTGATGCGCCGTCCCTCTGCAGGAGGCGGAGCGTGGCGACTGGGATCAAAGGGTCATTTGCACATCAGGATGTAGTGCCACTTCAAAGCTAATTCACAAAAGCATCTCTGAGGCCGACACGGTGCAGCTGATGCAGAATCACAGCCCGGTTCTGCTGCTGCTGCTGCATTACAACAATAAAACGGCGGCACGTGGCGGTGCATGCGGGGACTCGGAGACGGGCTGGTGCACAGGTGTCGCCCCACCTTTGAACCGGACCTGGCTGAGGAGGTTGGCAGGGAGACGCGTCCAGAAAGAAAACCTTTCATCTGCTGCTGCTGAGCCCAGCTTGGTTTAATGAGCTGTCATTACTGACCACCTAAAGCCTTCATCCGTCCGTCAGGAGATTCAGTTTCTGAGCTTTGTTAATTTTTCCTTCAGAGAATTGGTTTATTTCGTGGAAACTCCTAATTTCCTCCATCTTCGTCTTTTTATTCGCTGATTTTGGCGACTCACAGGACTAATTGTATAGAAACCAGTGCAAACATGTGATTTTAGTTCAGTCTGATCCTCGGTTGTTGCCTCCAGCTCCTCCGACTTTAAAGCCCCGACAGCAGCTTGGTCAGGGGCACCTCTCGCTCCCCCAGCAGAGTGTCCCTCTTGAGGCTGGTGCCTTTGTTCACCACCTTGAACTTCACCGAGAGTTTCTTCACCTGAATCGAGCTTATCGAGTCAAAGAAGAAGTCCTCGTTGAAGACCGGGTTGCGGCTGTTCTTGATGATGTTGCTGCGCTGCTTCTGCAGCTTGCCGGGGTTCAGGTAGACGGACACGCAGCAGTTGATGCTCTTGATGTCACAGTGCTTGTCGTACAGACTTTCCGCCGCCAGGACACGGATGAGGAGGCGGGAGGTGCCGGAGTCGTAGTTGGCGCTGATCCGCACCGTCCCTCCCTTGTGCAGGTTGATGGTGTGCTCCCGATGGAGGCCATGGTCGGAGGCTCCGGCGCCGCCGTGGAGGGACGGGACGTGGAGCCGCCGCTGGACGTTGGGGCTGGGTTCGGCCGAGCTGCACTCGTCGGTGGACAGCGAGCTGTGGCGGGCGAACGTCCGCTTGGCTTTCACCACTTTGGCCTGCGTCTCATGAGTGAAGATCTTGAGCAGGGACGCAGATCGAGACAGCAGAGGGGAGCTGAAGGGAGACGACTCGGCCGACGAGCAGGTGTCGCTTTCTCCACCGCTGAAGTATCGATACGGGTTCATGTGGGAGGTGTTGAAGTCGGCCGGGTTCAGGTGGTTTCCTGCGTCGCTGCTTTTGCCGCCAGTCTTCCTCTGAGCGTTCGGGGAGGTGATGGGGCTGGTGAGCTCGCAGTGGAACAGCGACTCTTTACGGCGAGTGTGGGGGCTTTCCTTCAAGGTGGCGAAGCCGTACGACGTCTGGGTCTTGGGGACGTACGGCAGCGACATGGCGGTCTGCGACTGGGGGTCTGCGTTGGTGTCTCCAGCCACAACATCGTCAGCGCTTTCTATCTGAATGATGTGGCGGTTTGCAGCCCTCAGCAAGTTCTTAGTGTCTCCTGCGAGCTTGGCCACCAGACGTGGGCTCCTCGGGCTGCTGATCTTCCTCCCGCCGCCGATGGTCTGCTCGGAGGTGGACGGCTGCAGCCCCTCTTTGGGCTTCACGTTGGGGATCTCGGGTTCTGGAGGGCAGCTCACCAGCTTCGGAGGAATGAAGAAGTCCGGGATCTTGTCAGGAGTGAGGACGTTGCTGTAGGGCGCTGCGTTGCCTTTCTTGTCTCCGTTGTCTCCCTGTCGCAGCACGCTGGTCTCCACCGACCCGCGGATCTTATCCAGAACCCACATGGTCCCACCAGGCAGTGGGAAGCGTGGAGGAGGTGCAGTCAGGTGCGTCTGCAATTAATAACACACATGGGTGGGGAGGAGGGTGAATGATCAGAGGAGTCGCACCACAGGGAGAGGATAAAAATAACCCGAGTGCTGGAGCGCAGCCTGTGATTAAAGCACAAGCATTTACACAATAAGACTGAGTAAAAGGAAACAGCCCGGTTCTGAGACACTGGATCTGAGCTTCACTTTTAGGGATATTGACTGCAGAGCAAAACCTCAGTGGGTCGAAGCACTTCAGCTTAAAAAAGGCTTTTTTGTTTTTGAAGAGCTGCGGTTGATTTAATACGTCTCAACAGGTACCGATGAGGAATCAATCAGAATCCAACTACAGGGAATTTAAATCAAATGAAACAGAAAACTGAGTGTTTTAAGAAGCTGCAAATAGATTAACAACAAAGGATCTGCTTCTTCTTTATTCTTTATGTCCTAAGGTGCTGTATTTAAAGTCATATATGTTGTATGTTGCTATCTATGTGCACTACAGCCACTAAAAAAACACTTTACGCGCATTTTTATCTGATTTTATTCTTGCTTTCACTTTCAATCACACGATGGTGAAACATACAGAAATAAAAAAAAATCATTTTCACAGTTGAATGTTCCCACACTAGTACCGTTTCCACGGTTATTTCTAATGGTAAAGAATATTTAATTGTATTTCTGCTTTTTAATAAAACGTGAATTGAATTTTAAGAGAAAAAGTTCCGTCCACTCCAACAGGTGCCTGAACGCTCCCTCCTGTTGCGCACCAGTCCGTTTCCAAAACCTCTAAAATAAATTAACTCCAGCTGAAATCTGTAACCCCAGACTGCTCCTAATCCAGGAATGATAATCATAAGACACTTACAGCTGTACAGAAGTGGTGCTCTGCTCCCGTCGCCCTCCGTTCCGCCGGTAACAGGTGTCTCCTCCTCGCTGCGCGCTGCGCTCTGCGCCCTCACACCGTCTCCGCTCCGGAGCTCCAGTCGTGCGTTTTATAGGCGACACAGAGCCGCTGCTGACCAATAAGATCAAACTGTTGGCGTCTCCAGCAGAACCAGCCAGAAAGACGCTGGCTGCAAATGAGAGGAACCTTCCAGGTCGGTGGACGTGATGCAGCAGAGTCCCTGTGATTGTTTCACTGCTGCTGGAGACGCGTTGCTCTGAGGGAACGTTCAGCTCATTTCAACTTCTAACGTGCTTTGGCTGATTAAGAGTGAACAAAGTCAAGTTATCGTTGTTTGAACGACCTGCAGCACATTTAGAACATCAGCTGTTGCACCAAAGTGCAAAAAAAACCCAAGACTGGCCAGTAATGAATGTGACAGGTTTAAACACTGAGGTTGAGACTCTGTTTAGTTTCTAGTTTTCAAGTTTTGAACCTAGAAAATATGAAAATTCAACAAAACCAAGGATTCACTGGACCCCTGTGAGCACGCTCTGTTTGGTTTCTCATCCAATATGTCTTATTTTGTGATATTTTATAAGATTATATTTTCTTGTTATTGTTGTTTCTGAAGACACGACAGTCACAGTTTTACTCATTTTGTTTTCACCTCCAAAAATGCTTTGAAATTTTAATAAAATCTCATAAAAGAGTGAAAATCAGGTGCCAGAAAAAAGAAAGAACAAATTAGTATTTGTATATATATATATATATATATATATATATATATATATATAGTTTGTTGGGTTTTTTTAATGTGAAGATAATGCCCAGCTTTGACCTGGTTTTATTTTATTTTATTTAATTTTTTTCAGTTAACATATAAACTAACATTTTTTATATTTTTTTTTTTCTGTGATTTTACTCTATTATTGAGTGAAATCAATATCTGTAAAAGGACAGCAATTATTTTGGTTACTATTTTCAGTTCTTTATATATAAATATGAAATCACAAATATCTGTTAAAAGAAACGACTATTTTCTTTTGTTGATTTCAGTTCATGTCTACTTATACAATTACACTGTATTTGTAAAAATATCTAGATGTGGACATTATTTACTTTATTTTAATGGTTAAAATGCAAATGAATAAATTTTTAAATATATTTTACGAGTTATTTTTGGTAATTTAACAAAACAGGGACAATCTGTAAATTAGTTTATTTACAGTTAAATCACTGGTTCTTATCATCTATTGTCATTGTACAGAGTCGTCTCCACTCTGCTGCATCCTGATCGTCCTCCATCAGCACCCTGACCCGCTCCGTTCATCCTTCAATCGGGTCAAACGTGTGTGTGTGTGTGTGTGTGCAGCACCGAGCCTTTGTGTGCATGTAAATCATATTATTTCTATATGAGACCAGGAAAAGCACATGCAGCTGAGCAGACAAAGCAGCCTGTGCACCTGTGTGCTCCGATTCACTTCACAGCAGTCTTTTTTCTGTTTGCTTTTTTCATCCCTCTCCTGGTTTTGTCTGTGTGTCTTCGGGTTTAAACCGACCGATCGGTTTCCCTGGAAACTTTGCTATGGCAACAAATACATTTGTCTAAAATAGGATGGGCCCCACTGACTCCATCGATCTGCAGGACTAAAACAGCGCGCCTTATTTGCTCAGATTGTGTGGTTTCGTGTCAAGTGCCGTGTGACCGGTGGACTGAGAGGTCCGGTCGCTGCTGTAGGAGCATCAGTGCACCGAGTCTGCAGGCGGGAGCTCAGACATGTGCAGGTCTGTGGCTGCCTGCTGACAGACAGGTGGATGAGCGGCGCTGATTGTGAACGGACCTGGAAGAGGAGTCAGCTCTGCTCATCTCTGCCTCACTCACACAGAAAACCAGTCTGATGGCTGCTCCCCGTCTTGCCACAGCTAATTGGAAGCTCAACAGTTTTACAGTCAACGAGCCGCTGGATCCATTTGGACTTCAGCTTCTGTTAAAGCTCATTGAAACTTATTAGTGTCACTTTTTTAGTATTTTAGGATAACAAAGTCAGAGTTAAGACCTCATGGTAGCTGCAGTTTACACCCACATCTGCCCAGACTGGGTTTTGAGGATGTAAAATGTCTTCGCTTCATACTGATGAGACCCTGGTGTGAAGGTTTAGGCTCGTTAAAGCTGCATCAGTCAGCTTACACACACACCCACAGCCGCCTTTATCTGGTTCACAAAGATGTTTTTGCATTATTTTATCTGCTCTGTCCCAGATTATAACCAACCCAGTTCCCTTTTACTGGTTCAAATAGCTTTAAAGGACCAATTCAACTTATAAAGGGCAGTTTGTGTGCAAAAAAAGTGAATGCAGCCCTCACACTGACTGAAATGTCATCAGTGCATCAAAATGGACTGAATTCATTCATGAGGCCACAGAAACACTGCATGAGAGATGACGTCCTGATTTCATTTAAACATCTCATCCACAGATTGTGCACATGTGCATAGAAGCTCATTCTTTTTAAATTAATTTAGAGTATTGTGTGTTGCACTGCTGCTGATGTTTCCTTGTATTTTGCACAATGACAGTAAAGCCTCTGTCCATCTAGATCATGATGAAGTCTAAACGAGGCTCTGGACCTGCCAAACACACACAGCGTAGACGTCTGAAACAACACTGTAGGATTTAACGGTCAACCTCATGCCTGGACATTCAAGTTTCACAAAGACACACTTCTGTTGTCGCCACAGGTGGAAGCTTTGTGTATTTGATCTACATAAAGAAGCAGCTGCAGACAAACCACCTGAGATGTTCCCACGTCACGACTGATGTTAGATCTGAAATATCCGCATCAGGTGGAACCATTCATCGAGCACAGCAAGTTCACGTTTTTGTCATGTGGATAAGAGCAGCTTCATCATGGCGGCTGGACGACGGACATGAGCTGAGCTACTTCCTGTTGCTGGTGAGGTCTCAGGCTGCAGGTTTACTTCTGGTTCCTTGAGTCTCAGATGTAGGCAGTGTTCAGCTATCAGGCTTTAGGTTTAGGAGGCAGACGACCACATCACCTGTAACATCAGGCCTAAAACGTTCCTGTTTGGTAACGCTAATGGTTCAGGTGACCCTGAAGCATCCCTTACTGATGCTGCTCCAGACCCAGACTGCTGGAGGACTTCCCATGATGCACTGAGCTCCTCTCCTCTCCTCCACTCTCCATACAGCTGGAAGCCAGCGCTGCATGTCACCACCTTTGTGTTGTCTCTCTCCTGTAGTTTCTGTGTTGTCCTCTCTGCAGGTTCCTCTGGATCTGGAGCTGCATGTTCCTCAGTCTGCAGTCACAGACCTCCGACCTCCCCAGTGTCCGTTGTTCTGTCCGTTCTTCTACCAGCGATCCGGTTCTCTCTCCTCTTTAGTGTCACCCCGACATGTCGAGGCAGACGGCCGCCCTTCCTGAGCCCGGTTCTGTTGGATTTATTGGGTTTCTCTCTACAACTTTGTTCAGTCTTCAGTATTCTACACTTTAAAGAGTTGGTGGTATTTAATTGAAAGTCTCTGGATCCAACAGGCATTAACATTCATCAACATCTGCTCCAGATTTTGTGACAGAATCTGAAATATTTTCAACACTAAAAATCACAAATCATTCTGAACCCTGCAGTGGAAGACGGGCCTGTTGTCATACTGTGTTACTAACATCGTGTACGTCGCCTCGTGTCACCAGAACAGCTCCGACCCGTCGGCACCACGCTCCGGTTCGGCCCGCAGCGACGAGGACTCGCGTCAGGACAGCGTGGCATGTAAACCACGTGAGCCCGACTGGAGATAATTACACATCTGGGCTTCGCAGGTCCTTCCACACGTCACTGTCTGATGTAATCACCCTGTGAAGAGCCACTTACCATATAGATTGCAGAGGCACATCTGAACCTTCACCCACTGCTGTCTGTCATCTGGAGCCAGAGCCCGGCAGGTTACACTAAAGAGAAACAGAAACGCTGTCACTTTGGTCCGTTTCATAACTAATTTTGTTCTGTTTTTGGGACTGATTTGTTCTTGTTTGTAGCCATAAAGCATCAGAGCATCGTGGTGAATACTTAAAATCTGCCTAAAACCCCAAAAGATGTGAAAATTACAAGAATATGTCACAGAAAAGTACATTAGTGGGCACTTTCATTGGGTCTGTATGAGATATTCTTCATATTTAGATTCATTTGCATTAAAAAATAAAGATAAATGCTCAATTAATGAGTGTATAGTGCATATAGACTGTGCATATTGTCTGTATTGGAGCTTTTTAGTGTAGATAAACCATAAATACAGAGAATGTACAGTAATTAATTAAGTGCTTATATTATTTTTTAATGCAAACTGAGTCTAAATGTGAAGAATATCTCATGCAGACCCAGTGTTAAGTGTCCACTAATGTACTTTTCCAGTATTTATGATCCTAATTTTTTATTTTTTTCATCTTTTTGGGTTTTAGACCAAACAAACTTTTGCTAACTATGAAAAAATCCAACAGAAAAGGAGTCAAAATCAGTGATTATTTGTCCCGTCTTACTTGAAAAATGTTTTCTCTCCACTGACTAATCTGTTTCTCAGTATTTGGACGCTGCAGCTCATCACAATCAGCAAAAAAACAACTTAAAAATCCGACAGATGGGAAAAAATGAATTAAAACTGAAGGAATATCTGCTGGAGAATATGTGAATGTCACATCACACGGTGCACAAACCCGGCTTCACACTGGTAACAGCTTCCTTCTACAAAATAATGAGATCGATACACAAGCGTCTGAGGATCTTCTGAGGAAAGGTTAATGTGTCTGTTCTGCTCTCATTAGGAAGCCCGACCCACAGCTGACAACACCGCTGGCTGCTACAGACCCAAACGGACCAAAGTGCACTTCCTGGCTGAATGATACAGATGTGTGGCGCTGCTCAGCTGTTCTCTCAGCGGACGGACACCAGCACACCGGCAGTGACCCGGCAATTATACGAATAGAAAGAGAAGATCACTTGAAAACCCGGTCCAACACCGAGGCCCGAGCATCTTCCCCGCTGACGTCTGATTGGCCTCCTGGAAAGACAGGAAGCAGAAGTTGGGGCGTGAACGCACAAAAGCCCAGCAGGAGGTCCAGTCAGCTCCAGGTTTGCTCCTCCAGCGTGTTTGTGAGCGAATTTCAGTCAAACAGCAAGAAAGAAACACGTCACCAGGTCCATTTTCGCTCCTTCTGATTGTTGCCATCCGTCTTCCTCCTGCACAACTTCTGTTGCCTTGGAGACGTCTCCATCCTACCCTGACATATGGATCCATCCTCCCCCCCCACACTGCCTCCCCAATAACCAGCTCTGCGTCCTCCTCTCAGCTCACACGTCTTCACCTCCGCGGTCTGTTTCGGTTCAGCCAGCCTGCTCATTACTCCGAGTCCGTCCAGCTTTCTGCGGGTCACCGAGGGCTCGGACTCAGCTGCCTTCTGGTCTCTGGGAGCCCTGAGATCGCTGCCGAGCAGCCAGCTGGACTGGACGGACGCAAAAACATGTGACTCACGGCCACAGCGTGAAACCACCAGAGGCTTCCAACATCTGGGTCGGAGAGGATTCAATAAATGTGTTGCTGCACCGTCTCAGAGTTTGTGAACAGTCGAGGCAAAATAAACCTGATACGTGGTCATCTTGAACAATGAATCCACATCACCAGTTTGTCAAAATAGCAAAAAACTGAACCCTGTCTTGCTAAACTCACCACACATCCAGGTCTACTGATGTTAGAGCCTCAGAGGTTGGTGACATGTCGACCACAGACTGTATTTTACTAGGAAACATGGATACCTTTATATATATATGCACACTTTGAGGAACTTTCTGAGGCCCCAACACCGCCCTCGTTTGAAGAGTTTGCACTTTTTTTTCTATCATCTTTTAAAATTTGACCTCTGCTAGAATCATTCAATCATCTGAATCTGCTGGAAACAGTTCTGTCAGCGTCTTCACTAAGTCTCACAGTTGTATTAGTTGTCAAACCCTAAATATGGTTCCAGCTCAGACTTGTTTAGGGTAAAATACATTTAAAAAACTCCCAGATCTAAAAAACATATAATATTCTCAAAATTGAGATAAAACCGCTTACTTAGAACTCAGTTTTGGATCCAAAATATGTAAATTATGAACAAAATCTGATAAAGTGGAGCAACAACGCTGTGTGAAACGCCACAAACTGAGCCGTCTGTGACACATTTAGGTAAAATGAGCCTCATGTGTTGGTAGATTTCATCCTGTAACTATGAACATAGAACAACATCATATAGATGCTGATGCACACCAGTTTCTGTGCTGCTATCACTGAGTCCACATCAACATTTTATCATAAGGAGTTGGAACCTCGTCTTGCTAAACTCGCCACACATCCATTTCTACTGATGTTACATCCTCAGAAGTTGCTGACACGTCGACCAAAGACTGTATTTTAGGAGGAAACATGGATGTATTCATACATAGACACACTCAGAGGAACTTTCTGAGGCCCCAGCATCACACTTGTTTGAAAGTTTTGCACTTTCTTCCATTTTCAAGGTCCAATAATTGAAATTTTGACCTCTGCTGGAGCAATTCGATCTTTGGGATCTGATGGAAATAATTTGGTGTCACCAAGTTTCATGGCTGTGGAAGTTCTAGAGATATTGAAGCCTTAAAATAGCTTCCCAGGTGAGATGCTTTTTCCTTTTTTTTTTTAGGTTGAAAATACAAAAAAAACTTCTAAGGTCTGAAAACATGAACTTCTAAAAAGTTTGGCCACAGTATTTTACAGAACGTCGTTTCAGGTGACTAATAAGCAACATGTCAGTAAACTGAACAGAGTTTGAGACGCTGGAGCAACACTTTTATCTGAACTGACACCGACTGACGCGTCTGGCAGCTGGTTTCATGAACCACAGTTTAAGCAAAGCGTTGTCCTTTTCAGACTAAAACACGGCGCAGCGTATGAAGGAAACCACAGAGAGAGACACATTTCTGCAAATGCCAGGACCATCCGAGTGTCTTGCTTTTTCTGCTCGGCTGAACTGGCATTTGGATTGGACACACGCAGGGCAAAAGGTCAGACCTGTCGACACAGGAAGCAAATTTGATGGCCTCTGCGGTAAAGGCGCTGCATCCCGGTGGGGGGAGACGGGGATGAGGTGTTTGGTAAAAGGATGAGAGAGAAGAAATGAAACCCTGAGTCCTGTGTGCACTCAGAGCCGCCCTGAAACACCAGCAGGCAGCAGGTGGCGTTTCCTTCACGGCCTGATGGGTTTCATTTCCAGATTACAGACGGCAGTAGGTGGGTCAACTTAAACAGGAAGAAATAAAAAGGTGGAGATCATAAAACCATATAACCGGAGTGCAGGAGCAGCGTACGAGGGCCCGGCTATACCGGCCTGTCTATTTACAGAGTCGCAGCAGCTGATTAGAAAAGCTGAGCGACCAGAAGATAGGTTACCCTTTGAGCTGAAATGCTCCTTATGGCTCATGTTTCTCTGTCTGTACATTTCAGGTGAGGCCAGGCTGGAAAACACTCGAGCTTGTGATGTTGATTCCAGAGTCATGCAGGCAGGAGCTGAGAAAAGCAGAAAAAAGAAAAAGGCATGAACAGGTTTGGGGAAAATCTAATTAGAAAAACTCTATGACTGTCAGAGACTCATAAATCTGTCATCTGTGCTGTTCCTCAAGCTCTGAGTGAGCAAGAACCAAGCTGCTGCTGCCCTCTAGAGGCGTTTAACAGAAACTAACCGTGTTCTCAGGTAGAAACAAGTTCAGACGGGCGTCACACACACCAAACATGATGCAGGCTGGAGAATAATGAGAAAGAAAGAAGATTTGTTTGTGCAAACAAATGCAATATGTGTCTAAGTAGATTTTTATACAAAAAAAAAAAGGCTGTGATTTACTGTAAAACAAGGCAACTTGTCTGTTAGAGCAAAGGAAACACACACAATGCATTTCCACTTACAAGAAGTTAATGCATTCAGGTGTTTGTGCAGTTAATACAAGAACTCTTTAGTTTTAAAGCAAAATCACAATAAATACTAAATGCATCTGTAAGAAAAAACACACTTGGATTATTTTCTTTCTTGTGCAATAAGTTAGAACAACGACAAACAACCTGCAAGTGAAACTAAACCTTTCCTGTGGCTGCAGAAACGCTTCATTCAGACGGAACACGACAGACAAAACTTTAAAAGTTCGTTTAAAGTCCAGTTTCTTTTCTCCACGAGAAGAAAAAGTGGAAAAAGACGACGTAGAAGCTGAGTGAAGCCGAGTACGTTTGTAGCTGCACGGGTCTAACAAGAAAGGCCACTCAACGGAGGTTTATTCTTAATTCTTCTCTTCGGCAAACACCGTGAAAACTAAACACAATAAACAAATGCACGTTAAAAAACAGACATTTGTGGATCTTTCAGTCTCTAAATCACACCACAGTATACATGAAATATAAACCAAAGATAATTACCGTTTGCGCCTCTTAGACCACATGCAGAATGGCGATAACTTCTATTAAGTGTCCATGCCGACTGTGACCCACAATGCTGCTCTCTTAACCTTACTAAAAGTTAGTCATGTGACCTGACTTGTCAAAATAAAACTCAGCGTACCCAACTTCTGAACTAAACTGGACCTTAAAGCGATCTGTTTTTTAACAATCTGTTACATTCTTCATCTCAGTTCTCAATTATATAAGAACAGCAAAACAATGAACTGACAATCAAACAGAAACCAAACACACACCACAACCTGTCTCTTAGACACTTACAACGTTGTTTCTAAACGGACCTCTGAGATGTAGAAGATGAATGAAGATGAAAAGTGTGTTAACATTTAAAGAAGGTCTTATTAAACCTGAAAGGTGAGCAGGTCTGAGGAAGTGACGCTAAATCATTTATCTAATTATTATCATTCTTCTTGTTTTTTTGTGTTTATTTCACAGCTGCACTTTATTCTGGTAACTTAATAATCTTATATAATACACAATACAACCCGGTCTCTGCTGTGTTTAACCTGGAGCAGGGAAGCATCAGAATTACTGGACTTTTAATATTCTGGGATGTCAGATTACTTTTATTTCTAGTTGATGGAGAGACATTCTCAGCACCTGTAAGGGTTTTGGTGTTTGGTAATTAAACTGTTTTACGATCAGACTGAAGTCCTCTTTCTGATCATCACGGTGCATTTCTGTTCACTCGTACAACTCATTCTCAAGTTTCACTCTCTTCAGGTCATTCAAACATGTGCATTATGTAGATTTTGTACATTTAGAAGACTGTAAAATGCAGATTATTTCCTACTCATGATAGAATCTGTGCCATATCAGTGTTTTTCTGCTTATATGTGTGCAACACTTTCTACACAGAGGACACATGTCTGTATTTCCTATTTGATGTTCCCTACATTTTAACACCATCCACTTTGCTGAAAACAAGATGAAATCTAAGCTAACAGCAGCTGATCAAGGTGTCCAAGTAACCAACAGCTAGTCTGTTTAGGATTTCCTTAACTCTAAAAGTTCTGTCCATGTGTGATAATAACCAGCGACTACTTTACAGACAGTAAAACATGATCGATGACGTCTGCATCTGGGAGATAATTACAACCAGCTAATGAAGCTCCTGCTGTTACTGTGTGCGTAAATACATCCTGATGATATTTAACAAACTCCTACAAACAACTAAACTTGAGCTATAAACTATAAACTATAAACTTCCCTCGTAACAAAAGGAAAGACAAAAAAAATCAGATGACATCCATTACTGGTGTGTGTCATTGATCTAAGCTGTTAATGTTCTTATTGCAGTGAAGCTTCATGATTTTGGACGTTTCAGTTTTAATAGATTTGAAAATGTTAAGCAAAGTAAAAGAAAGGTGTGTTTGGAACTCAAACAGCATCTGTTGCAGTTTTTTGTACAATATTTGTGGTAAAATTTGGAGAAGAAGTGGCCAGGTTTAAACCTCTAGGTGTGACAATCACACAGGACCTGTCTGGGTCACCTCACATAAAGTCCACTGTGATGGAGGCCAGACAGCGTCTCTTCTACCTCAGACGTCTGAGAGGCTTCAAGCTCCTGCTCACGGTGCTCAGGAGCTTCTACACCTGCACCACTGAGAGCATCCTGTGGAGGAGCATCACCACCTGGATGGGCAGCTGCACCAAGCAGGACTTCTTGGTCCTGAGGAGGGCGGTCCGTTCAGCTGAGCAGACCATCAGAACCACCCTCCCAACCTGCAGGACATCTACGCCCAGGTCAAGGACTGTGAAGATCCTAAAGCAGCCCAGCCATCCTGGAGACTCTCTCTTCTCCCTGCTGTCATCAGGCCGACGCTATCGCTGCCTACAGACTGTAACTGAGAGGATGAGGAAGAGTTTCTTCCCTCAGGCGTCCGTTGGCTCAACTCTGAGCTTTAAAACCAGACTGGGCGCTGCTATAGCTCACCTGGTTGAGCTGGTGTCCCATGTGCAGGGCTACAGTTCCAATGTGGAGGTCATGAGTTCGAATCCCACTCATGACCCTTTCCCACATGTCCTCTCCCCATTCTTCTCCCCTACTTTCCTGTCTCTCTCTGACTACACTATCCAATAAAGGCCAAAAAAATAACTTAAAAAAAAAAAACGGACTGGACGGGCACCTTCTACACATGCACCTTATGCACCATAACAGTGTTCTGTTTGCTTTACTTATTCGATTACTTATGTGTATAAATACATAAAGTATATATACTTCTGTAACACTTATTTTTCTTTTGTTGAAGCTGGATGCTGGTACAAAACATTTCCCTGCACATTGTACCGTGTATAAATGACAAACAAAGCAGATCTTGAAACGCTCGTCCTCAAATCACTTCACACAGCTTCAGTGCTGTTTCTTGGTTCATGTGACCTGCTGCAGGTCAGACTTGTGCTTCGGTCCAAGTGATGCAGAAATGTTCCACCTTATAAGGCTGCTGCTGCAGTTTTTACCGAGAAGTGAGCAGGGAGCTAATTCAGAGAGTTTATGTGGGGTTTCAGTCCAAAGAAGGGCAGCAGGACATCTGTGATCAACACACTCAGTGTTTAGTCCATTAAAACATCTACGTTTTAATGGTGCTGAATGATGTTAAAGTTCTGAGCTCTGAGGTTTTCAGATGTCTGACCAACAGCACAGGACGCTCAGAGTTTTAGTTTAAACAGAACACAGAAAAGCATCGATGGAACCAGAGACATGTTTGTCACGTGAATCATTAATCATTAACACTACATGCATGATGTGAGCGTTTCCACACCTCCACAGTCTGCTGGATGCACACACTGCAGCCTTCGCTCAGATTTCTCACGCTACACAAACTGCGACAGAGAAATGATTTGCATCGATTCAATGCAAAGCGAAGCTAAACCAGCAGCACACCTCACAGAGCACAGCCTTACCTGAGCTTCCTCCTGGATTCACACTTCCTGGAGTGACAAAGGAAGCACAAGACAAGGAAAGAGAAACCACGTCTGTTTACAGAGGTCACCTCTTCAACTTCTATTTATGCACATGAAACACGGAAAGCATCAGGAAATCCTTTAGCGTCTCCACCACCCTCCCTCCAGCAGGGTGACTGCTGTGTACACGTCTCATCATGAGCTCTCCTCAAACTCTAACTCCACCAGAACATGTTCAAACAAATCAACACCAAGTGAACAGAAAGAACACGAGTCTTACCTGTCACAGCTAAATCTGTCTGTCTGTCACTCACTCATGTCATTTCAGTGTCTGCAAGAGAACACACAAAACGCAGAGTCCAGTGAGACCTCTACATCTGAAAAAATAAAATTAAAAATAGAGAACACACAAACTCTGCTGCAGCAATAAAAAAAACAGCCAATATCTAATAAAGAGCTTTATTTCAGATTTTAAATAGATTTACAAACCATAAGAAAAAAAGAAAATATAAACAAGAAAAAAACAAACAAAAAAAAAAAACATCAAGTGATCGTCAAAATATCCACATGTGCATATTATCAAGGTAGAGATTGTAAACAGTCCTTTGAAGCCAAAAAGTGAGACTCCCCGTTGGTTGGTGGTTCTGTTGTTGTTGTTGTTGTTTTGTTCCTGAGGTTCTTGTTGTTGTTTTTTTCATAACTGCTGGGTTTTTTTTTTTTCCCCTCAGTGACGCTGCCACCAATCAGAGCTCAGAGAACCGCGGAGGGGACGAGTGGGGAGAAGAAGAGACGACAGAACAGCAGTTTGACCCAAAAAAATAATAAAAATAAAAAATCCCATTCTTCCAAACATCAGAACAGAGGAGGGGAGGATCTGAGATGGGCATGAGCCGATCATCGGTAACGTATCGTGGAGCGATCAGGACTCGGTGCTGCGTCGATTTGGTTCTGCACGACTTTTCTGTTTGGTAATCCGTCGGAGCATTGATCCGTTCTTGCCGTGAACAACCCTGGGTCTTTTTAAAACAATCAATTCATTATTGGTAATATTCGTAATACACAGAAGATAGAAAACATTGCAGCTCACACCACAATTTGGAAACAAAAATGTTACATCAAAACAGAAAAGAAGCCCGTCCCCGCCCCAGAAACAGAACAAACCCTCAGCCCGGTCACAATGCAACAGCTTTAGACAAAATCGAGTTAGAGGAGCTTTTTCCTTGGACATAATCCCGACCCTTATAGCAGATCTAAAACCACAAACACATCATAACAGCATGCTAGTGAAGAACCACATTCTCCTGTTCATGCTCAAAGATAAACCCAATCCCGGTACCGTCCCCTTTAGTTTTAATTTTTTTTTTTGCGCTTCTTCCGTCACACTTCTGTCAGCACATCTTAAAAACGATCGGCGAATATTCACACACAACGGAAACATGATTACAGCGAGGATTTCATCGGAGAATACTGTTGGATGGTGTCTTCTGAGCGAGCAGCAGAGCGCTCCTGGCAGTTAGGAGACGGCCTCCGACTGAAAACAAGAGCCCGTCAGTCTACATATTCATCAGGCCATTTTCATTCTTCTGAATCACTCACGCTGCTACCTGATCTCCTCTGAGGTAACAGGGTTCATTGATTCAGGTGGGTCAAGATGGCTGCAGCCCAGAGAGGAAAACTAAAAACAAAAAGAGAGACTGTACACAGAGCGGCCAGCAGGGGGCGAGCTCTGTGAAGGTTAGTGTAACTCCTCTGCTCTGGAGACTTGTGCTACTCTGAGTTACAATCAGAAACCGCCGCCGCCACCGACAAACACAAAGACGGACAAAACTACACGCGTCCGTCTCTAACCGAGGACACAGCCGCTCCGAAGCCCTCAGACACAGAACCGGCTCGTGAAACTCAAGCTGGAGTTCGGGTCAGACCGTTGCAAGGCTCAGCTTTACTGCCACGTTTAAAGCACTGCATATTAAGGAAGTTCAAGCACTGACTGCATAGGGTTTTTCTTGTTTGTTTAAATACAGTACACTGGATGTGACGAGCAGCCGCGGGCTCAGCTAGCTGTTTCTCAACGCGTCCAGGCCACGAGTAGCACGTGCTTGTACGATGAAGGCTTGAAGGCTGCGTGGCAGTCGGTGGAGGACGTTTGTGGGTTCTGATCTACATTCCATTCTTTAGTTCAGCTTTTGGATCTCACCTTTCTCACTCACACCCCAGACAAATCTGACAGGTGCTGCTATAAATAAGCTGGCGCTCGCTCCATCAGGAGGGCGCTGTTCGCACAGTTTGCCCACCTGAGAGTTGGAGGTGGGAACACTTTGAAGCCTGAATATCTCCCTCTGCCACCTTTTTCTTTGTCTGGCTGGTTCGGGTTTGCTTTGACCGCTCGGTCCCGCTAGTCGTTCCGATCGGGGATGTCGGGGGAGTGAGGGAAGGCACAAGGGAGTGTGAACGGCTTTTTTTCGAAGAGGATAACTTTCCTGTTTGGAGCAGCGCAAGCCGTGGGGCTTAAAAGGTCAGAGGTGAAGCACGGCAGGGCTTCCAACAGCCTGCTAACTGGAGGTCACACACACGGCTCAGAGGTGGAAATGACTCAGCTTTTTCAAACGCACACACTATGCCAATTCTCCTAAATTAGCTTCCTCTGCAAACGCTCTCCACTTGATCTGAGCTGTGATGGTACCTTCCTGCCTGCTGAACTGCCTTGGTGGGTAGAAACGGGTCTGTCTAGGAGACTCGTTGTCTGTAATCAGTTCAGACGAGGAAGTCAAACCATGACCTCACGTTATCCTGCCGTGTGTGCATCATGTGTGTAACCTCTACTCAGACAACAAATGGAAAAAAAAAAAAAGAGAAAACAAACAAAAAGCAACTCTGTAGGTTTCTTTTCATCAATGCATCAGGTTTTAGTGTGCATACTGTGACTGCACATTTGAGAGGAGGTGGTCAGGGAGGCCCGTGCGAAGTGAGGATGGAGGATTAAAGTTCAGTCCGTGACAGAAGAGGGAGTCGTGTGTGTGTGTGTGTGTGTGTGTGTGTGAGGGGGAGGAGTGGGAACGAGAACTGGTCGGGGTGGTGGGAGGTGATGGGTGACGTCGCAGCGAGGCGAGGTCAGGAGTCCTCGGTGCCTGAGTCATCCTCGTCATAGCAACAGTCTTCGTTGTCGTCCTCGTCGTCGTCCTCCAGCTCCTCGTCGTCGTAGTAGTCGTCGTATAAGAGGTTGGAGCCGTCGTCTGTGGGCGGGACCTGGGTGCGGACGCAGTACTCGTCCAGCGTGATGGGAACCTTGACGCCGTCCCGCTCTGCGTCAGCTTTGGTAGCCAGAACCTGCTTCCTGGGAGGCGAGAAAAGAAAAGAAAAGTTAGACGAGGCCTAAAGGAGCTTCGGCGCCGGTTTCTCTGCCGCGCTGTGGGCCGTTTCCTCTCGGTACCTGATAATTTCGATGTACTCTCTGTCCTTGCCCTTGCTGTCCCTCCATTTGCGGTACATGACGGATGCGTCCACGTTGGCCGGCGAGAACGTGTTGGGCTCGTTGAGCAGAGAGATCACGCTGAGCAGGATGGTCCTGAGAGAGACACGAAGGAAAGCAGGGGGAGAGATTAAAATAGAGGAAAGCAATACAGGACGAGGAGCAAAGATGGAGGTAAGATGAGACAGGAGACATTGCAGCACAAAGAGGTGAACAGAGATGGAAAGAAAAGGAGGAGAGACACGTAGACAAAAGGAGACGAGGAGGTGGAGGGAGGTGAAGGTGAACTCATGAGCGTTCATTTGTCAACGTCTGATTTCAGCTCTTAACTCTGAAGGCTGCTCATTACAGATACGACCAAACAGTAATGCCGCTCATTATTTATATTTGGGGGAATTTAAGGTGCAATATGTGAGATTTGGAGCAGAAATATGACATTAATATACCAGCAAATGACTGTCTGCTGTGTAAAGATACAGTGGAGTGATAGTGTGTGTTGTGATCCGAGTTTGTCTGATCTGTGTTTGGGCCGTCGGTCCTGATGCACATGCCTGTTAGTGCATGTTAGAGTCCCTCCTCACATTTATAAAAAGGCTGAGTGACCTCCCACACCACACTGGAAAAGCAAAAGTGCAGTCCAGGTCCAGCCGGTGCCGTAAAAACCCAAAGAGTTTAAAAACGAAGCATTTCTATTCATGTAATTTATGTGTTTCATGTCAGTGCAGTGAGACACTCTTGTGCTGTCTGAGGTGCTCTGCTTCTACCTTCTTCTTTGCTGCGCTCATGTTTGTTAGACGTGAGAACAGCAAAGGAGAGACGTGTGAAGAAAAGACAATAGTCTCGTTCGAGATGAGTCAGACCTGCACAGATTGAAGCTGGTGCTGGTTGGACATCAGCCCAACTTGATGCCGACTTGCTCTGACGTCACGCTAACGTATGCGACGATAAAATCATGAGATGAGGCGGCTGCAGCGTTTGGAGTCGGTCCATTTTAACTGCTGACTTTTAACTCCGCCTCAGGTTCTTGTCCACTCTACAGATAAGGTCCAGTTCATCTCGAACGAGTTTAATGTTTCTCAAGTTGACAGAAACTCGCTCCGGCCGCTCAGCGTGTTTCAGAGCGGTAGCGTGGGATAATAGTTGTAGCTGGATCATTGTTTATTGCCTCTTGTGTACACAATCTCTCTGGTTGTAAATAAAAGGGAAGCTGTGGCCAGTGTGTTCGCTTGTCTCGGCTTGAGGTGCTGGCGCTGTACTGGTTCTGAATGCTGCTGCAAAGAGAGCTTCTGCCTTGGACTGACTGAGGGCCAGGTATAAATGAAAGAGTTTGGGTGGCATCAAGCTTTTCCAGCCACTGTCCTCTTGTGAAAATACGAAGCTGCTTTTTATTTTATTGCTGTTTATTATGAGCTTGAGGGCTGCTGAGCTTCTCTCACTGAGGACACACTCGTACTCAGGTTCTGTGTAAGCTGAGGACAGAAAGCAGGAACACTGGAGGGACTGAATAATTCAATTTGTGTCAAGCAAATATCTAAAATAAAAGAGCATGAATTATACATCGTGTTTGGATGTTTGCAGCATTTAAGCTGCAACAAGTTGGTCGGCAGCTGAGAAAAAAAAAAACAAAAACAAAGCCCCAAACAGTTGTCTTGTTTTGGTGCTATGTGATCCGCCAACCGGCTCTCTCAACAGTTCTTCTCTTCCCCTGAGCCAAAACGTGGGACTGTTTTTGTTTTTTGTGATAATCGGCTCCGGGGCTACAAAGGGCCCATTATCGTGGACACACTTATATTCAGCTATCGCAGTTTGTGTATGAGCGCAATGCATAAAGGAGAAAGCTGCAGAGAGGGAGGGAAAGAATGGGAAGGCTGCAGGGGTCGGACACATGAATGTACAGTATGTCAAAGGGAAGGTCGACCGTCACGCCACCACCAGATGGATGCAGACAAACTCTCCTGACAGGCAGCAAAACGCATCAGTCTGAGAACTTACTGCTAGAGCAGCACGACTTTAATCTAACGAGGGAAGATGAGGTTTGAAAAACTGCTGCATGAGTGTCTAGTAAAGCTCTTTCCAGTAGTTTATAGGAAATTGACACAAACTGCATAAAAGCTTGGACATTACGTTGAGCCATTTGTCTGCAGACTGATGCAGAAACAAAATGAGAAAAATGTGGAGAGCAGCAAGATGTGGTCACGTTAAAGTGCGATCAGCCACAAATATAAGTGAACAAAGCTTCAAGGTGCAGAGAGACGACAAAATAATCACCAGTCTGCAGTTTGACTAAAGCATTAACGAGCATTTCGGGGGGATTGTGAGTTGGATTGTTAAAATGAATTAGCTTTTTTTAGCGTGTGCTGCTCCAACAGCCCCGGTGTGTACCTGACGTTCTGCGTGGGGTTCCACCTCTCTGAAGGCAGCTCGCCGCTCTGTGGGTCGTCCACCGGTGGGTGCAGGATAGAAATACATACGTCCCCGTTCTGGTGGCGAGAGAGAACGCAGGAACATGTTCACGATCATATTATCATCATCAGGCAGCGTTAAATCACTCCCTGGTTGTTGATTTAACCCTTAAAATCCCATCTTTGTGCACAAGAATGGCTTCGATGCAACTCTCCAGCATTGCTCCTTCTAGAATGTGCAGATCTATGAATGTATGATTCTACCCTAATGCTGTAAAACTACTCTACATTGCACAACAGCAAAGTCTACAAGTTGTGTAATTCAGCCACACATGTTTGAACCAAACCACGAGGCTCTTCCCTGATTGGTTCTTTAGGTTTGTTGCGTATGAAACCCTGGCTGTCTGGATCATTTCTTTGAGACTGTCATCATTAAGCTGCAGATTTAAGGCGGAAAAGCTCAGCCACGGCATGTTTTGCTCATGAGGTGTCTTCTAGCATTTAAAAAACACGACATGCATAATATAAGTCAAAAGAGAATCATCTTGATGTAAAATAAATAAATGAAAATCAAAAGCTTCTATCTGAAATCACTTCTTAAGGAGCTAACGTCTCTCCTGCACATCCCCACTAAAAAACACATGCATAGTGTCACAGTGGTCAGGGTTACCTCGTAGATGTTGGGGTGCCACATTTTGGTGAGGAAGCGGAAAGCAGGTGGAGAGTACGGGTAGTCGACGGGAAACTTGATCCGAGCCTGAGGGCGAGAAAAGATGCACATTAGCAACGTGGCAGGCGGTTTGTTTGCCTTTCTTCTTTGCCAACAGACAAGTCACGACGACTTCACTGCCAACTATTACTGTTCAGGACCATTTCCATCAAACGGACCAGCACAGACAGGACGGTCCCTACAGCCACAGGTAGAGCTACTCCTGGTGTTTAGTGGATCCACACATCATACGGCTAAAACCCCTCTGCAGAAGAAACACACACAAGCTTGTGCTTGTACCACCATCTTTAAGGGCCTGCGTTGACACAATGCATTCCCTGCTAGTTCTTACTTAGCCAGCCGAGCTAAGCCTCATTATCATTCTGCTATAGGGGATAAAAATGCCCCGGCATGTTGGGATTTCTTCAAAACAACCACAGTGTTATTGGGTGGAGCTCAGCCAAAGACGTGGCTTCGGTATTCCCTAAAATAGTGACGCGGGAATTGTTTTGGTGGGACATTTGCACGCAGGGAGGTGAGAACAAAAAACACGACACTAGCAGGGCTGCTGCACATCCAAGTCCTCTGAAATGTTAGCGGTCGGCTGCTAGCCAGGAAGTTGTTGCATCCTGTAGCAAAGTGGATTTAAAACAGTAACAAGCAGATGGCATAAGTCTGCAAATCAGGCAACAAGTTTTATAATTTACAACACCATCACATCAGTTAAAATACTAAATTACTTTGATTAATCTCCTCGATTAAGAACTGTGTGAGGTCTCAGCCTTAATATGTCAAGTCCAGTAGCATCTTATATCATTTTTGTAGGGTTTCATCCCTAATATGTAAATTATTCAGGTATAATCACACCTTAAACGACACTACAGAGTCTTAACGGTAGTGTTCAGTCCTGTTGAGTTACTGTTGTGGCACTAATCAGCCATTTTTTACTGGAAGGAACTTTGGTGTAGCTGCTGTTGTAGATGTACTTTATGAAAAACATTAGCCTGGCTTTACTATCTCATCTTGGTCATGTTGTTGGTGTCTTATTTGTCTAATGTTCTAATTATTTGTATAGTTTGAAGTCGTTTTATTGTAAAGCGCTTTGTATTGTTGCTTCCAAAAGGTACTTTACAAATAAAAGGTATTATTATTAGAACCTAGACACTTATCCTGAGTAACTGCACAAGTCCAACATTTGCTCGAACCCAAACCCAAACCTAATCCTAACGCTGCTCTCTGCAGGCGTGTCATAAATGAGGACCAGTCAAAAAGCTCCAACACTCAAGAAAAGAAAGTGGCTCTTTCTGAAAGCTTTCCTCAACAGACTTGTCTTTGCAGCCCTGGTGTCAACAAGCAGCTGCTGAATGAAGATCTCTACAACCGTGAAGCTGATCGGCCTCAATAGTTATTGAAGGAAACCTATAAATAGTCTGTGGAGGAACTGCAAACCCTACTGAGGTGGCTGAGCACGGGGGAGCTAATGACAGTGTAATGTAATATGGTGTGGAGGAAGGGAGGGATGGAGGCTCGCAGTGCATTCAGCTGCAGAGTGTGTGGAGCTTAGCGAGACACCGGCGGCCGGTGGGGGGTGGTGGTGCTGGTGCTGGTGCTGGTATAAAGACATTGTGTTTGTCCTCTCCAGCTGTCACTGCAACCCAAGACAATCCACTGCTCACACCCGTGTTCTGCTATTATATGCCCCTCATGCAGAAACCCCACCCACAGACTGTGTAGCCCAGTGTGTGGACGCCCCCTCCTCCCGGTCCACACGGCGGGCTGAGGTGGTGGCGGCGGCGCTGGGTGGGGGCAGCACACACCGACCGGACCGATTACACACACGCACATCACTCACAGCGGGAAGCCTTCTGCTGATCCCTCCCATGTCATATACATACACACTCGCATGCATCTGCTGATTCGGCACGGTCAGCTGGTGCTCGGCGAGCGGGGGGCGGGGGTGGGATCGGCTGCACGGGAGCAGGAGAGGGGGATTTCACTGGGAATAAAGGGGGCTGGGCTCTATTTAATATTAATATAAAGCTTTTAGCCCTCTTTGACCGTATTGCATAACTTAAAGCGAGCGTATGCAGCCAAAACATCCATCACCGCTCGGAGCAGCGCCAGCTCAGAGTCACAACCTGCACATGAGGCTCTGCTGTCCGACGGCGGGCGGCGCTACGCCTTGACCCGCAGCGTATCAACTGATCCTGGTTCATCGCATAAAACCAGACAGGAGCGGAAACACGGACGCGATCCTGAGAGAACAGAGGGGAAAAAATCCCTGAGTTTGACTGGGCCTGCCAGGAAGCTGGCGGCCCGTCAGAGTGCAGGGTTCAGGCCAACAGTGTACACATTACAGGCTGGCAGCGGCGCAGCACATAGCAGCCAGCCGGGGGCAGGCGGGGGAGGAAGGCCACGCAGCCACTGCCTGCTTTTTCTTCCAAAACAATATAAGCAGCGAGATTATATCTATCGGCTGGCTGCGAACACGGAGAAGGAAATCTTAGCTTGTATACTTCCAGCTCCGAGTGCGTCTGCATCACGTCCACAGACAGTCACACGTCTGCTTTCAGTGACCACACAGTCGAGCTCCACAAATGAGCAGCTGCACTAGAAAAAAATCCAGAAAAAACTGTGAAAATGGGCCAGAAAAAAAGCCTAAAAAACACCAAAACAGTCCAATACTGTTGAAAGAAATTATAACTGCAAATATCTTTTAATCATTATATTTTTTAGCAGATTGAATCAGACTAAAGTGTGTACAGATATTTAATTTGGAACATTACTGTAAATTAATACTTTGCTCTTTGATTTTTAATAAATATTATCTTTATTTAACAAAACCCAGAAAATCTGTAAAATAACTAAATTAAAATTAAAAATCTTATTTACAGTTTTAGTTCTGAATATATAGTTTTTTTTAAAGTAGGTATTTAGGTAATATTTGCAAAACTAAGATTTTTTTTCTAGCTGATTTAAATAGTAAAACAGTGTTATGGTCACACATTGTAAAAAAATAAAAATAAAAAAACATTTTTGATTCAGACATTGTAAACAGTTTTTGCAAAAAGTCAACATGTAATTTTTAAAAAACAAATTTTGTGATTTTACTAGATATTATCAGTAATTAAACAAAACAGAGAAAAATCTATAAAATAATAATTTGATTTAGCAATTTTCAATCCTAAATACAGCTTGTTTTCTTTAAATAACGGCAAATATCAGTAAAATAATGTGCTTTGCTGCTTTACTTGTAAAAAATGTGAAAAAATACTTTCTGTGGTCAAACATTGATTGAATGAATGAATAACTATTTGCAAAAATATAGATTTTTCATTCATTTATCAGTTTCTGCCAGCTATTTAGGGATAATATGTAAATAAATAGTTTTTTTTTTTAAATAAACATAAAATAATTTTTCATAAAATTACAGTTAAAAACTTGATGACTATTTTTTTAACAGTGTACAGAATGAGCCAGTGAGGACGTTTTAAATAAACCACAGGACGTCTCATTAATAGCTTTACTCTCAGAAAACTATTTTAAAAAGTGTGAAAATGCTCCATAAAAGAAGAAGAAGGCTTTTAGCTGAATGTAAACGTACGGCAGCACTTTCAGGAGGTAAGTTCGTCTCATTGGTCTGATTTCTCCAACAAACAAAATGTGTGGATGAAAAATTCTGTAACGAGCTTCCCAAAGCTGGAAATCTGAGTTTTTTTAATCCTCAGCATGTCATGGATTAAAAAAAAAAAAAAAAGACTAATGGCAAAAATTCCAGAGCACCATCAGATGTTATCCCACTAACAGTTTGTTCAACCAGTTTGATCCAAATCTATTCATGACTTCCTGAGATATTGTGCAAACCAGCAGAAGATCAGATAGAAGACAACCAAACAACCTGGCTCAGGAAAAAAAATAAAACTGCCAAAACTCTGTCATGAAGCGGACACATCTTTAAATCTGCGCATATCTGAATAAAACCTGATCCCATGTCTCCGCCTTCAGCCTGTTGCTGGGAGGCCTGAGCATCAATAGCCTCATTCATCACCAGTCTGGATGCGAGCAAACAGTAAAGCGGGGAGGTGATATAAGGATAAGCATTGATCTCTGGAAGAAGGCAGGGGTGTAATTTCACAATGCAGCTCACCGGGAGCCTCCAAACAGCCCTCCTGTAGCAACACTACTCCCCGTTTTAGCAGAAAGATTCAGAATTAGGAGGAGGATTGAAGCTCTCGACCTGCCCGGCTGACGGCTGAGTGAGGAAGGAGGGAGGGAAGTGGGAGAGGATGGATAGACGGCGGGCTAAAGAAGTGTGATGGAGCTGGCCTAAACACAGGCAGGCTGCTGGGTTGGCTCATTTGCTCTGCAGCACCGAGCAGCTTGTCTCCCATCTCGTCAGCGCCGAGCAGACAGGAGAGAAGAAACACGAGGGAGGAGGAAGAGGAGCGAGGAAGGGCGATGCAGTGGGGGTCTCAGAGGGCCAGCTTCAGCCTTCTCTTATAAGGTACACATTTGAATAGATCTGATGTCCTTAAAACATTCTCACATATTTACAGCTGACTCTTGGCGTCCAGCAGCTCTGACAGAACCTGCACGTCACGGAGCCTCAGAGGGTTTCTTGCAACATGCTGCTGCTGGTTTGCATGTCATGCCTCATAATTGGATTGAGCTCAGAGTTAACAGCATCTGCGGTCAAAAGGTGATTCACTCTCAACATCTCATCTGAGCAGCAGACATGAAGGGCGGCCAATTTCCTGCCAAGCACGCAAAAAAAAAAAAAAAAAACAGACTTATGAAAGACTACTCTTGTTACCGAGAACACAGAACGTGAAACCACGTTCCTCTTTCTATGAAGATCTTTCTCGGATTGTGACCTAAAAAGCTGCCTTGAAGAGAGGACGGGACTGAGAGAGAGAGCGCGCCCACCCTGTGGAAAACGACAGCGAGGCGAAGTAAACCAGGTCAATGCAAAGACCCTGAACAGAACAAATCATTCTGTTCTCCCCGTGCACCTCTCGGCGTCTCTGCAGACCTTATCCTCACATACG